AATTAGTCATAATATGATCTAATATAATCTTAATCCACTGTGAATTCAATTGAGTTAGGATTGGATAGAATTGAGTTGAAAGTACATGCGAGTTAAGTCATATGTACTTGTGATTTTATCCTAATAATATTTTCTCGATCTTTTATCTAAAGATTAATCTAAAGATTTCTCGACTATTCAACTACAACGGGCTAATCGTACATATTCCGATGATGCATTTTTCTTATTATTGAAAGGAGATATAAAGAAGATTTGGGCAAGACTTTAACTTGACTTTTCTTATTTAAATCTCATGTTCGCATCCAAAATTGTTTAATTGAAATTCTACATCTAAAAAGCTAGTTTTTTTTTACAACAAATTCTGCCACAATCCTAGGGTTTAAAAAACCCTCATCAAAACGACCCTCAAATTTAATGAGAAAATAAGGAGATCTTTGGTGATCTACCTCAACAAGCCAAACAAGTTGAAACTATTTTGTTAGATGTTAGGTTAGTGTTCTCTCTTCTCCTACTATTGATAACATGAGGGAGTTGTCTGCTTGTAAATTGAAATATGATGAACTACAGAAGGCATAAGAACTTTTATTGGCAAAAATTAAGAGTTTCATGGTTATCCTTAGGAGATAAAAGTACGGGGTTTTTTCACAGGGCAGTCCGAATTCAAACTGCTAAGAAAGCAATTAGAAAGCTGATCAGAGATGATGGTACTGATTAACTGAAACTAATAAGATAGTGGCAGAAGTGGTGGGATATTAAAAGATTTTACTGGGAGAAGCTAATAGAGAGATTAAACCCTCTATGGAAAAATTAAAGAACTTAGTTGTTAAGAAGTTGTACAGCTTTGAGCTTGAGCAAGAGGTCACTCTTCTTGTTGTTTATGAATTGTGATCCAAAACATTTCCATTGATGTTCAAAGAAGAAATCAAAGTAAGGGAAGAAGAAGCTGGAAATTTGGTCAAGTCTGTGATACAATTCGTGGTACCTATTTCGGAGGCTTACTCATTGTGTTTGGGAGACATCTGAGGAAAGGTAGGAGTTGGAGATGAATGTAGAAGTGTTTTTAAGCATCGTGAAAGGCGTTGGATGATCGATTTGTAGCTTCCTGGATACCAAACGAGCTGCCTGAAAATCGTATGGTGACCAGTCAAAATCCATAGTCAGAGAGTCGATTCCACGATCGTGGAATAGAAGGACAGACAATGGATTTTGGGTGGTGTCGTTGTGGATTTCCACGGCTAGAGACCCCAAATCCACGACCGGGGAATCCAAGGGTAGACCGGGGAATTTCATCTGACAAGTTAATTTAGTTGTGCTAGGACTTTAATTTGTGGTTTATTTCTTTATTAAATTAGTCTTATATTTTCTACTTAGTTTGGAACATATTTTCCTATTTCAAGAAGGTTTATTTTAGGTTATTAAAATAGGGAGATTAAACCCTCTATGGAAAAATTAAAGAACTTAGTTGTTAAGAAGTTGTACAACTTTGAGAAAGAGGTCACTCTTCTTGTTGTTCATGAATTGTGATCCAAAACATTTCCATTGATGTTCAAAGAAGAAATCAAAGCAAGGGAAGAAGAAGCTGGAAATTTGGTCAAGTCTGGGATACAATTCGTGGTACCTACTTCGGAGGCTTACTCATTGTGTTTGGGAGACATCTGAGGAAAGGTAGGAGTTGGAGATGAAAGTAGAAGTGTTTTTAAGCATCGTGAAAGGCGTTGGATGATCGATTTGTAGCTTCCTGGATACCAAACGAGCTGCCTGAAAATCGTATGGTGACCACTCAAAATCCATAGTCAAAGAGTCGATTCCACGATCATGGAATAGAAGGACAGACAATGGATTTTGGGCTGTGCAGTTGTGGATTTCCACGGCCAGAGACCCCAAATCCACGATCGGGGAATCCAAGGGTAGAGCGGGGAATTTCATCTGACAAGTTAATTTAGTTGTGCTAGGACTTTAATTAGTGGTTTATTTCTTTATTAAATTAATCTTATGTTTTCTACTTAGTTTGGGACTTATTTTCCTATTTCAAGAAGGTTTATTTTAGGTTTTTGTGACAACTATAAATAAAGGGTGTAAGGCTCTAGAATTTTAGAAGATTTTGATGAATTTAAACCCTTTTGTGCATGGACCGTGTGCTTGTGAATTTGCTCTCATCGTTGGTGGACTCCAATTGAATTGAGTGTGTCTCTGTATCAATCAAGCATTCATCTTGATTGTGGTTGAGCTTCTACCCTTATATTGATAGAGGTTTCTCTCAGGTGCGACTATGCGAGATAGCACTTCAATTCACCCTTATCCTTTTATTTTTTCGTGGTGTTGAGAAAAGTACAGAAACTCTAAAAAGATTGTGGTTGCGTGACTTTGATAACTACAGGCGTCGGATTCGTGCTCATATCAATCAGTCTTTTCAATGGATTCTTAGAGAGCCTCGGGGACTGATGGATTTTTGGCAGGATTTTTTTAAAAGACATGGACCATTATAGGCAAGGATGTTACAACAAGGGTACTAGAGTTCTTTCATAAAAGTGTTATGTCAAGTGGTATCAATGCTACATCAATTTCGGTTTGCCCTAAGGTATCAAATAATACTACTCGTCTAAAGAACTATCGACCTATCTCTTGTGTTGATATAGGCTTATAAAATTGTTGCCAAAATCCTAGTACAAAGACTTAAGTCAGTTATGCCTTCAGTGGTAAGTGAGAACCAATATGCTTTTATTAAAGGGAAAAGAATCATGAAGAATATTTTAATGGCTCAGGAGTTGGTGAGTGGCTATTATAACAAACATATATCTTCTCGATGTGCAATCAAAGTGGATAGAATGAAAGCATTTAATTCGGTAAACTAGCATTTATCGATTTCTTATGATGAAACTGATGGGTTTCTTTGTGAATTGGATTTGCATTTGTGTGCAAACTACTCATTACAGTATTAGCATTAATGGTGGATTGTATGTGCCCTTTAGAGCTAAGAAGTATGTTAGGCAAGGTGATCCGTTGTTATCCTACTTATTCACAATTGCAATAAAGGGGTTTTCTTGATTGATGAGGCATGCAACTTTGGCTGGATCAATTCCTTTTCCTCCCCTATGCAAGAAGATCAATCTTAATGACCTCAGTTTTGCATATGACTTAATGATTTTCATAGTTGGATCAAGGCAAGCTATTAGAAGAGTACAATTGGTTCTGGAAGAGTTTTTTTTTATCTGGATTGAAATGAAATCCTGAAAAATGCAAGATATATTTTGGTGTGGAATCAATTAAATATAAAGCTACTGCTTTACAGATTACTGGTTTCCAAGAAGGTCAATTACTAGTTAGATACTTGGGATTACTTTTATTAACAGGAAAGCTTTCATCCAAAGAAGTGGACTGTCTAGTGGAAAAACTAACTCAGAAGATGAAAACTTGGAGAGCTAAAAAGTTATCTTATGCCGGGAGACTTTAACTAGTTTCTTTAGTTTTCATGGGTATCATTCAATACTAGAGGCAAATATTCCTGCTATCTAAGAAGGTGATAAAAGACTATTCAGAGTATGCTCAAATTTTCTGTGGTATGGTGATGAGGAAGGTAAAGCTAAAATTTCTTGGGACAGGGTAGCCAAACCAAAATAAGTAGGGCTGGTTGGTGAAGGTCGGGCGATTTTTGGAAATATAGAGTTATGCCTCTATTCTCGTTATATTGGATTGGCTAATTTGGCAAGATAGTAATACAAAGATCCTATTCAGCGGAGAAAAAACAAGAATTGAACACAACACGCGGAGCGCGGGTTTTCAACTAGTATATTTAGAAGGCATAACTCAATATTAATCACTTACTAACAAATTATTGTTTTCTAATATGGGGTATAAGTTTGCTGATATGATTTGAATCAGACTATCTGGCGACGACTGTATGTCACGGTGTATGGGCTTATACACGTTTGGGTCTCTGTTCTAGGCCCGATTGGTAACCTTAGTCTTTACCAAATTGGATTAGGGTTAGACCACGTGGAGAAGTACTACAAATACTTCTCATACTCCTCTGTAATCTGTATCTTCTCAAAGCATAGTGAAACTGGCTCTCTCATGCCCGTGAACTAGCCAACACACATCTTGTTAGTGAACCACATATATTTGTATGTATTGTTTCATTTTTCTTGCTCTATCGATCTTTCAATTGCCCGATTGTTGAAACAATCACGACAAAATCAATTAGTTTTATCAATGTTGAAATAGTTGTATGAGAAAGAAAACATACTTATTTTGGTTGTTTGAATTCACAAACATGACATTTGAGATGATGAAATTGATCCATTTATTGCAATGCCAACCGATTATAATTCAGACCATTAGCACTTAAAAATTTATGTATAGAAATTACTAGAACATGTACCAATTTGTTCCAACATGAAATTTACTTATAGAAGTAATCATCGAGCTACAAATATTCATCGGGGATTGTAAAACCATATTAAACGTTGTATCGAAAAAGTAAATACTAGAATATTTTATACTAAAATCATGATTTAATTGTATTAACTCAATTCACATATAAGTTAAAACTTTGATATAAGGTTTATCCCGTTGAACTGTGGTTATCAAATTCACCTTCTTGCCTAAATTGAACGCGATACTGAAACCAACGGACCCAAGTAGCAGTAATTCGTTCTCATTACAGCCACAAAATGGCGATGCATGTTCATCTCGGGCACCACTCTTGCCACTCCCACTAGGTGTGTTTCTCTCTCTTTGGCTGCCATACTTGGATGATTTCTACTTCATCGCCATCGCCATCGCCATCGCTATCTTCTAGTTCAGAGGATTCAATGGTTTCTGGATGATTCGTACTCCAAACTAGGGAACCAATATGTACGAATGCAACTACAACGATTAACAGAGGGTGCCTCTTCCTCAATGCGTAGCAAGAGACCAAATAACAACAAATTCGCTTCTTGGCACAGTACGAAAGTTGAAACTTCAATCACTCCCTTTTCACTTTATTCTATTCGCAGTGGACAAAATTAAAAACCCCAATTCTCAATGACGACCAACGTGTTTGTTTATAACTCGTTCTCGTCACTCGTTCCCAAAAGCTTTAATTTCTCACTGCCGTCACTTCCTATTGCACAGCAGCCGCAGGTACCCGTCTCCGCCTCATCACCCCGCCGCCACCGCCGGATATCCGCTCTCGTCACCAGTATGGCTCAGTCTACACAAAACCCAGGTAAAATCGTCGAACTCAAGGCCAGAAAGTGACGATCTTGAAATGAATTAGGGTAGGGGTCGTATTAATTAAGCCTATTGCATAGCGGTGCTGAAAGTGATCACTAACTCTCCATCCATTTCCACCACAGTTCTGTTGGGCCATTGGTGCAATATAATGCCGAAAAAGTGTTGGAGGTTTGAGTTGCAGGATTGATTCTTTAGCATGTTTTGTGATTTGGTTCCCCGTCATTTTCTCGCAGTGGTTCCGCAGAATAGAGTCATAATTCCAAACAAGCATGGTGAGAAACTGGTCGGATTGCTGCATGATTCTGGGTCCAAGGAAATTGTCGTCCTGTGCCATGGTTTTCAATCTTCCAAGGTTTGCCTTTTAATCTATATATAGGTTGTGCGAAATACGAACGGTCATTCTTCCGGATTGGGAGAGGAACACGAGGGAAGTAGAATTAGTGACTGGATATTTTGTTTTTGGTATTCTGATCTCCAGGACTACACAGCCATGTCAAACCTTGCTAATGCATTGGAAAAAGAAGGGATCACAGCGTTCCGATTCGACTTTGCTGGTAACGGGTAAGCAAAAAGGTCCTTCCGTTCATAGTTCTGATATGAATTCTGCAATGATGATCAAGGTCATTTGGTTCTGCCTTATGCAAAATGCTTCAAAGCTCTTTGTCAGCGATTTTCTTGTAGAATTGTTGTTTGTTCAGTGTTCCAACTGTACATGTCTCATTGACAGGGAAAGTGAAGGCACATTTGCCTATGGTAACTATGGGAGAGAAGCTGATGATCTTCGCTCTGTAGTCGAACACTTTGCTGGAGAAAACCGAGTTGTTAGTGTAATTCTCGGCCATAGTAAAGGTGCTTGAGGGTTGTTTCCCAGTACATGAACAGGCACTAATTTCTTCGAATTGTTTTTCTGATTATCAACCAACTTGTGTGTGGGATGCAGGAGGGAATGTGGTGCTCCTATATGCTTCAAAATTCCATGATACCAGGAACGTTGTAAACGTTTCTGGACGCTATGACCTGATGAGAGGCATTGAGGAGCGCCTCGGGAAAGACTTTCTGGAAAGAATTAAGAAAGAAGGGTTCATTGATGTAAAGAATCAAGCAGGTGACTTTTATTCCTTCACGCTGAATTCCCATTTGGGGAAATGAGGCAAGTATATCTGCAGCTGAATGTTTATCTGCCACCATTTGTTTTCTGTAGGAGAAGTCAAGTATCGTGCTACTGAAGAGGCTTTGATGGATAGACTGAATACTGATATGCACAAGGCATGCCAGCAAATTGATCAAGATTGCAGGTGGGCGGAACTAAAATCGAATTCTTTTAAGTTTGTTTCCATTATATCGACGGTTACTTAATGTTGCACAGCCGGAATTCAGTAATAGCAAACTGCATTCTCTGAGTTTAGTTAATGTCGCACAGGCCGAAGTTGATGATCCGTGTGCAGCCATGATTAGGTGTTGTATTTTTTTACTGATTTGCCATTGCTCTCCATATTGGCAGTGTTTTGACAATCCATGGATCTGCTGACGAGATTATCCCAGTTGAAGATGCATTAGAATTTGCCAAGATCATACCAAACCACAAATTACACATCATCGAAGGGGCTGATCATGGATACAGCTCTCATCAAACCGAGCTAGCGTCTGTAGTTTTGGAGTTCATAAAATCAAGACTGCAGCTGCAGGACAAGAGCTCCACTTCCTAGGAGCTTCATCGATTTGACGCAACTGCTATTCAACCTATTTGCTATTATCTCATCAAACAATATAACATTAGTTCGGTTCTCTATCATATCATATTGGCGATTGAAGAGAGATGCAGCTTGAAGTTCTGCTGAGGCATTGATTAGTCAGGAGCCTAGACTTCCCAGTGATATGCCTGTGCCTGTCCTTACTCCTAAGAATGGAACAAGTTGATCTTATTTCAGAAGAGCAAAATAAGGTTTCAGGGGTTGACTGTGGTACCCTAATAGCAATTGCATTGGCTTTCAAAGCCTACTAGGAACCTACATGGTAATTGGTAAATGGATTGCATGAAAGTAGACTCATTTGCACTGATGTCTTTGTCTATTGGGTATGGAATGCCACATGAGATTGTATCTTATCTTCACCTTCTACTTTCTAGTACCAAAATTACGATGACTATAGTATATTAAGCTATACGAAATGAATTTGAAGAATGTAGATGGTTTCAATCTGATAAACTCTGTAATGGCTG